TTTGAATTGTTTGTTGGGTGGTATAAGAGCTATTTTGCTGAGTGTATTCACCTTTATACAGCAATATTGTAAAGCAATGCAATGAAATCTAATAATGGAGCTAGAACACATTTATAAGGCGTTTAATAAAGCATTTTATTCAATAATTTGAAAACAGTCGAATAAAAGCGACAATGTATGTGCAAATTACACTTATTCAGTTTGTTATTAGATCAAACTTCTGGTTCTGAATAAGGAAGACAGTCAACGTTTATAAAGCTTTTAATAAGAAAATTAATCATATCAGAGCAAACGGCGGAATAAAAGCGCATCTATCGATCTCAATGAGCTTTTTTCAGCACATAATTCGACATCCTGTTTTATTCAGCATTGTACACTGTTATACAGCATTTATTCAATGTGTATGCTTATTTGTGACTTTGAATTGTTTGTTGGGCTATTGGCAAATCAAAGTTGGCACTCGTGGAGAATAGAAGAACTATGAGAGTGATGATGGTTTCAAAATTTTACACGGTGAGGTATACGAGTGCAATCTTTAAATGCTTTTATTTAACAAATGGAGCATTTTATTTAAATCTGGTTAATGCTACGCTACACTGAAACAAATCGACATGTACCGTTTACTGGATCCATCTTATAACATAGCAATGTCAGCAGATTTATTCATTCTATGTGATGATTGATAGATTCCATTGTATTATCACTTTAAAACTATGACTGCGATATGGAATGATTTCTATCGTAATTTCACATACTTTGTACTTGATAATACTTTGCTTCGAACGTGGTTAGCGATAGGTAAAAAGTATATGAATATTGTCTGATATATTTCATGGTGAAAAATTGTTGATATGTCATGTTGATATATGTGGGAACAGACATCTAGAAAGTAATGGAAAATCATATAAGTTTGCATTATTAGATAATTCAGTACAATATACCTGTTTTCATGATGAATATTGCTCACTAAAAGATATATCTTATAAGATAATCATGTATATTTTATTGAAGTTGCTTTTAACGATTTTTGACGTTTGTTGATATGTCGCGTGTAAACAGACATGTAGAAACTATTGGACTGTCATTTAACTTTGCAGTATAGGAAAACATGTATATCTCATATCTCATTGGAATAGCTTCCTTTGATTTTTGAGGTTTAAAGATTGTAAACAGATTTATCCCAATCATTATATAGTCATATAGATTTGCCTTTTAAGAAATCCAACAGCAAACATTTGTTTTGGCATGTTTTTCTGGGATGAATATCGCTCAAAATAAAATACATCTTACATGATTGCTCTTCATAAATTATTGAAACAATTTTCAACGATGTTATCGTACACTCATTAAAATGATAAGTTGATATTGTTGATATTGTAAATATTGCTAACAACAATGATACTGTATTGAATAATCTTTGTTTGTTATTGTTTCATAAGATAAGGGGTTCCGGAAAAGAATGTATTGAGATTGAAAAAAAATGATTCTACTGCAATATTTACTTTGCTGTGATTCTAATTGTAAGCCTTCTACACAGCTAATTCAGATTCCAGCCCTAGTACTCGAACTTCATGAACCAGTTCCATCAACTCATATAATTTAGTCGTTGTTTTATTGCACACAGGCGCATTAAGAAAGATTTGAACAAACGACACCACCGAAACGGAACATAAACTTGTCAGTGCTATTTGTCTTCACTCTAGCAAAACGAGCATAAAGTTGCACTACATTCCATGTCGGGAGAGCTGTTCTTACTTCATGCTAATTGAACGAGCTCAATCTTGAAGTCAGCCGTGGCCCAGTGGAATCGAGTACAGAAACCGAAAGCATCACACCTCAACAGTTCTTGATCGAATCCCAAATCAGCTACAATAAAAAAAAGACACAACTGTGAAAGCTCCCACTGCCTGTGTTTATTTTTCGATTTATTTTTAGAAATCGATTAAATATATGTGTCAAAAGAAGAAGTAAATTTCATGTGATTTTCACATAAACTTTACTTCGATTGATTTATGACACATATATTATATTGTGGTGAAACGTAAAGCTTATGCTTATGGGTTTCAAATCCATTTCAGTTAATTTTTATAATTTGACTGATTTTCATTTATCATATGACGATCACATAAAAGTTACCAAATTATCAGCATTGTAAATGTATCAGATATTCATATAGAATTTACCTGACACATTTTCAATCATATCATTTTCAATGGATTATCTTATAGCGCAAATTTATTAGATTTCCACATAACAGGAATATGTCAAATTGGTTCAGTGTAGTAGAAAACCTCAGGACTACTTAATAGACATATAATATAGAAAAAATAATTTCTTTTCAGATTTTTATGTGTAGACATAGATTTCAGTTTTTCTACAACTGTAGCAGCAACCAGATTTAAATAAAATGCTCCATTTGCAAAATAAAAGCATTTTAATATTGCAATCGTATACCTCCCCGTGGAAAATTCTGAAACCATCATCACTCTCATAGTTCTTCTATTCTCCACGAGTGCCAACTTTGATTTGCCAATTAGTCGGATTGAAAACTAGTTAGAACCAAATTGGCAAATCAAAGTTAGCACTCGTGGAGAATAGAAGAACTATGAGAGTGATGATGGTTTCAAAATTTTACACGGTGAGGTATACGAGTGCAATCTTAAAATGCTTTTATTTTGCAAATGGAGCATTTTATTTAAATCTGTTTAATACTACGTTAGTAGAAAACTTATGGACTACTTAATAGACATATAATATAGAAAAAATAATTTCTTTTCAGATTTTTAGGTGTAGACATAGATTTCAGCTTTTCTACAACTGTAGTAGCAACCAGATTTAAATAAAATGCTCCATTTGCAAAATAAAAGCATTTTAAGATTGCACTCGTATACCTCCCCGTGGAAAATTTTGAAACCATCATCATTTTCATAGTTCTTCTATTCTCCACGAGTGCCAACTTTGATTTGCCAATCGACTTCGGTTAGACATCTTGCTGTCATTTGTGACAACTGTCAAACTTTCCGTTTCCGTTCCGCTTCCGCCCACATTGCGCTTGGGCCTTTACTTGTATCCAACACATTTTGCGTGCAAGTTTTGGTTCACGCGCGTCCGCTGAGAATAATTCGACAGTGAGCATTCATAAGGGCGTATACGCGATGATCGATTCTCTTCATCGATTTTCTCTTTTGTTAATAACTCGCTAGATTTAACGTTTGTCGGTGCATTTGCTGTTGCTTTTGATAGCCAATGCAACCTGTTACAACTCTACATTGAATAAATTCTACAAAATTGTTGCGCTTAGCTGTAGCAATGCAAAGAGAAAATCGATGAAGAGAATCGATCATCGCGTATAGGCCCTTATGCATGCTCACTGTCGAATTCTAAATTCAGTTAGAATCGTAGAATTAGGTTCTGCAGCGTGACGTCACGAATGAACTCAGTGTTAATAGGCTGAACCTTTTTGGCAGTTCAGTGGTACTGTTTACAAGCACTTAGTCGTTTTTTCGAAATTAAATATTCTAAAATTACCGAACTTTAACTTGAAAATTGTCGAGGAACAGCGCGGTGAAAGGATGCTGCGCGTGGACAATGCAGAAGTGTGGTTTATATCTCACTGCAGTCTGAAAAATTATCGAGAAAATCTTCCGAAGAAAAAAACGACTAAGTCCACGTAAACAGTACCACTGAACTGTCATCAGATTGAGGTTAATCCCCACGGTGCAAAACCTAATTCAAATAATTTTGTCAAAAAACCATGGTTACACATCAGGGTGCTGAGTGTGAGATTTCTTATAGGCCAACCTCCAGTTTGATTCATTCGAGGATTCATTACCCCAGGTCGCGGAAATCTACGAGCATATTCATAGGCTGCCTAATAAAATTTTTATGGTTATTTTGCTAAACGACGTATTCAGGGTGTGATCCAAATAATTTAAGAAACAGGTCTATTATTTGCGTTATCGTTCGGGTATTTATTTTTTTATTCGGGAAAAATTTATTGAGTAACTGAGCAACCTGAGTTTTTAAAAAAATTATCTTTATCCTGAGTAAAAGTTGATCACTCTTTTTGAGTTAGTCGCATCGACCGTGTACTTGTGTAATCTCATTTTGCGTGCAAATGTAATTGCGTACAATATTGTAAACAATTCTTTATCAGTTACGATCCTCTTTTCCGGTAGATGTCTTCATTTGGATACAAATGCAAGGACTAGAGGTGTTCAGACCGGTGTATTGAAAGGGGATTTATTGAATTTTGAAATAATGGTGGATTCTGACATAAGGATTCAAAATTCCGTTGTTCATTGTGCTAATTTAGATAGAGGGTTCTAAATAAAAAAAGTACACTGTTAGTCCTCCAACATAGAATAGCATTCCGAACAGCCTGTTGAGTTTGTTTGTCAACTAAGGGATGGTCCATTAATTATGTCACGCAAATTTGGCCCATATTCAACCCCCCCCCTCTCCCCTTTGTCACATATTTTGTATGAACCTTAATTTTTTTTTTGTATGGCTCGTCACAGTTTTCAAACACCCCCTCCCCCCCTAAATGTGTGACATAATTAATGAACGACCCCTAAGTACTGGATACAGTGGCCCAGGAGATGATTTTTTCGTGAAACTCAACTTCCCAGGACTCAGAGTATGATACTGCTGGCCAAGTCTGTCTAATAAAACAATAAAAATGTACGAATTCAAAAAAGATATTAGTAAACTCTTAGGCTGAATATATACAAATAACACTTAGGGGTCGTCCATTAATTATGTCACACATTTAGGGGGGGGGGGGAAGGGGGGTTTTTTAAAAACTGTGACGAGCCATACAAAAAAAAATAAGGTGCATACAAAAAATGTCACAAAGGGGGGAGCTACACTACACTACTCAAATACTAACATCAGAGCTTCCCACGAACTAATTAAAAAGAAAGGAATTTTAAGTTAAGTAACACATTTACTAAAGTGGACATGAAGAACATTTCGGATAGTAAACACAGCAAGGATAATTTTAAAACATAATAAATTACAATTTATTCATTCTCATGATTCCAACAATAATTTAACATCAAGGGACATTTTTAAAATATGACAGTGAAAATATGATTCCATTCAACGAGCTTTTAATGTACATCAATACTGCTATTTAGTTGGATTTTGTTGATGTGGTCCCACATACATGGTCCTTAGATTTTACTTACAATTCAACAACTGGACATGCATATTTTAAATATCATAACATCGTTATACATTTGAGCAGTTTAGAGAGATTGAGTGAGTGAGTAATATATTTGCACACTGTGCGCCATCAGGAACATTTTGAAGCACCGGTTTACTTCTTCTCAGCCAACAGCTCATCGGCGGCAGCCGAAACTTCTTTCCACGAGTAGTCGATATCCGAGATTTCGGTAAACCGCGAGCACACTGCCATACGCAGGAAGTATACATCGTTAACCTTCGATGGCACCATGTGAATTTTGCCTCGACCGTTGATTCTCTTGAGCAGGGCCTCGTTCAGTTCGTTGGTTCCCTTTAGTTTGAAGCAAACCAAACCCATCTGAACGGTGGAGAAGATTTCGAAACGGCTATCAGCGACACAGAGAGCTTCAAATTGCTTAGCGAATGCACAATGGCGACGAATGTGAGCTTGGATGTTCTCAACGCCATACAGTCGGAGAACAAACCACAGCTTCAGAGCACGGAAACGTCTGCCCAACGGGATTTGCCAGTGACGGTAATCCGGAGCCGATCCTTGCATATCGTGTTTCAGATAAAGTGGATCCACGTTGAAGGCATTTACAATCCAGTACGGTTCCTTCAGCCACAGGGCACTGCAGTCAAAGTTCACCAGCATCCACTTATGTGGGTTGAAGTTGAAGGAATCGGCCGTTTCAATTCCCTTCATCAGAGAACGATACTCCGGGCATACAAAGGCTGATCCAGCGTAGGCAGCATCCACGTGGATCCATACATTGTACTTGTTGCCAACCGGGCCAAGTTCATCCAAGCGATCGAAAGCACAGGTGTTTGTCGTACCGAGGGTGCAAACGGCATAGAAGGGAATCAATCCTTCGGCCAAATCCTGCTTGATGGCTTCCTCAAGAGTTTCACCGCGGAGCTGCAAGTTGCTGTCCGCCTTCAGCGAGCGCAGTTTGACACCTCCTAGGAGACCTGCTCGTTCCACCGACGAGTGCGATTGGACTGAAACAATTTCAAACGTTTAATTATCAAAGTGCTGGTTTTACTATTCGCTTTACTCACTTGAGGTGTATCCCACCAGTCGGGAAACGATGTATGTCTCATCCCACTCAGGATGTTCCTCCTGAGCTCGCTTAATCGCTTTAGCCTTGGCACCGAGCAAAGCGACAAGGGTAGCCTCACTGGCAGTTCCCTGAATGACGCCACCTGCTTGACCTCCAGAGCTAGCTAGGAACTCTTCTGGAAGTCCCAACATTTTACCTAACCAGTTGAGCATTTCGACCTCCAATTCAGTACACGCCGGGCTGGCAATCTACAAGTTATTGTGTTATTAGCCTATAAATTTCCAACTGAAAACAAAAGCAAATCAAACTCACCCATGTGAATCCAATGCAAGCGATCGCACCGCTGAGCATATCGGCTACGATGGCCGGATAGGAGTTGGCCGTCGGGAAGTATGCGTGAAATTTAGGGCTGTGCCAGTGGGTGACACCGGGCATGATGACCCGCTCGATGTCAGCCATCACTTCTTGCCAGCTTTCTGGCTTTTCGGGAGCCTCGGATGGAATCAATGGCCGCAGGTAACCCGGTTGAACTTCCGGAAGGACGCGTCTGTAAAATAAGTAACAAATTTTGAGATGCTGATTGACATGTCAATACCAAACCGTGCTTGAACTAGTAATAGTGGCTCAAGTTTAGTCGTAGCTATTTGGGGGACTGCGAAAGCTTGAGGTTGAATGTTAAGATTTGTTCAAGGAAGTATTGAACCAGTTTACGATCACTTTTTGTGACTCATGTCTCATTTTTAGGTTACCGTACGAGCTAGCGAAGGCAAATCAATCGAAAACTGCATTGCTTGTCTAGAGGATTCAAATCATGTGCGAAAACGTGCGAATTTTGAAATGAGCGAACCCATGCGAATGGAAACATTAAACTACGGTTGGACAACGCAAAGCATGAGACAATAGCATGAATTGAATGCTGTAAGAAAACGACCAACAATTACCACCGATAGATACACCACCACGACGGCGGTGGCGGCTTTATTGGTTTCCGTTTGAGTAGCTAGCGAGACACAAACCAGGCCGGTGAGCAAGTTGTGTAATAATTTATGGTTTTTTGTTTGCTTCGTGGCCTTGCGGTTTCGATTTCGGATGTGTGCATTCATTGGAAATTAGTTTCCGATTAAAATTAGTTGAGATTAGTTTCTTTGATAGAGGTCTGTACAGTTTACTAAAATTAACAATTATCGAAATGAATCAAAATCATTATTCATTAGCATAGAGCCTGCTTTGGGGACATTTTGACCTGGAAACACTGTAAATTTGTCGTAATGCAGTAGGATGGTTAAACCACAGGGATATATTAGGCTATATCTTAATATGGGATTTGTTTAAGTTGATTTCTTTGAATTCTACCACATTCCACATCTGCATTTTAAGGAAATAGATCGCTAGCATTCTTATATAAAGCCAAATAACGGCTGAATTCGCCAGAAAATTGAGTGAAATGCGGTAAATTCCATAAAAATTGATTCTTCATCACTCACTGCAGCCCCAGTTGAACGAAAGTGAATTTCTATTGCATTCACACTACAAAATTCGCTCCGAAGGGAACTACGCAAAATGATTAACCGAACTCATGAAACTGGTTTCACATCCATTTCCAGCACCACTCTTGTATACAGCAGCTAAATTAACAACCTTTACCCATCACTGTATAGGGTCAATTAGGCGCGATCCGACTCGTTGCTGACGTTCCACGTCAATCCAATCTATTCAGCCTTATTGAGCTTGTGTACAACAACCGATCAATGGTGATCTTGAACTTGAAGCCTACAACACGCAAGCGGTAACCGCTGTTTTTGTACTAGGTCAGTGAAACCAAAGCGGATTAGGTTGTGTTGTGGCCGGGCCCCGGCTTCTAAAGAACATTAATCTCAACGTTGCCCAGACTAGAACTGTGATCAAAGTCCAGTTCTTGGAGATATTCGTGAGTGACGACGAGAGTTCATGAAGTATTAAAATAAATCATGATTTACTCAACCCCTTGGATGCCCTTGGTAACAAGCCCCTACACCGATTATAAAGGCTTATATAAGATAGCCTGTAGATCGATTTATGCAGAATCAGAAACAGCACACCTGTTCCTATGTGGAGACACTGGCTATAAGTAACTGGATTGGACATGTAGGTGTGATTTCTTATAATTTTTTGTGCAAACCGGATAGCTTCGTAGGCAGGTGGCGGACACCACCTCGCACCATAAATTGTGATTGGTCATGACATGACGAATGATCACGAAGCAAACCTTGAGCCTAGTTGGTGTTGCTTTTTTACGATCTCTAGTCGTCGCTCTTCCGTTAATAGTAGGCAGAAGCAGTAGCATTTTATGGAACTCGCTATCTATGTAGTCTGTACCTTGATCCTTTAGCCTTGGTTGAAGATATTGCTCTATTTTCGGTCGAAACATATCCAATTGACAGGGTTATTTTATTATATCTACATAATCCAACGAAGAATTGCGGTTGCTAATAATTTAAAACGCCTTTAAAGTTGAACATTCCACCAATGCAGGTCTAGACGGTTATCATCACGTGTGTTGCAGGTACAGAGCTTTTAACCTACCCGTTCGCTGCGCACTGTAGGTCAAGTTCAATGCTTGTAGTGTATCGTGCCTTCGTGCTGGCTTACAATAATTGCTAGCACGATTTAGTCGGATCTGCAGACACGTAAATAAATCTAGCACAAACAGATGGGAAAAATTTGCAACTTTTCGAATACAAATGACAAGGAAGGTTGTACATTTCACACACAGTAAAATATCAAAGACTATCATGCGCTACTTGTCAAAACAATAAGCAATACCACAAATGCAATTTGATCACGTATGTATTAACATCGCGAAAAACCACCGCACAATCGTCATCCGAACACAGCAGGCAGAGCGGGACTTTCCCATTCGCTCGGTTCGCTTAGTTTGTTCAACCGTAAAGTTACTAATTGGTCGGGTTTTCAATAGACCGGTTTTGTCGTCATATTGAAAAACCACCAACATTTATAGGTTATGTCACATTCGTCAGTCAATCGAAACTTACCGATCTCGGATGTTCTCCAGGTAGTCGGCGATGTAGTCCACCATTTCCTTGGCAAACTCTTTGAACTGTGGGGCCTGCATTTCGGTCTGCCATGGAAAAAAGATCGGTGGTTGATTATTATCAAGGTTGCTAAGCTGCACAACGGAGAACGAGTGAAGCGACTATGGAGCATGCTTTACTGGTGGGTTAGTTGGAACAATTACTTACGACAGGTGGAACCTCAAACTTGTTAGTGCCCATTCCGAATTTGGTTAGGAAGCTTGCAAGGTTAGTAGAAAATTTAGTGAAACAGAACATGTCTAAAAAGGTGATAGTAAGAATAAAATATGATTGAAATCATTACGCGAGGGAATTGAGGGACTGGCATTTTGATGAAAATTGACTGAACACTTCTAGTATAGAAATATTTTTTAACACAAACGGACAAACGAAGGCGCGATGTGATCGACACAATGCTAACGATATACAATGATTCTTCTTTAGAGATTCAGTATTGCTCAGAGCAGAGATAGAAATTGATCGTTTGCTATAATAAGGGGTTGTTCGTATATCACGTAGACAGTTTAAAAACCCCCCATTATCATTGTGCAGGCAATCATCCACACAAACTGTAATACATTTTTATAGTTCGTGGACACTCGCAAGTGATCAATCTTTGATGTGAATTTTGCGAATAAACGAGGATGATTGATTATAGCAAAACAGACCATATACAATCGTCATAGTTCATTTTAATAAACAAAATAACACTTCTTGCTTGCGTGTCCCATTTGTATTAGGCCCTGCTCCTGAACTTTCTTCGTAGTCTGTGGATAGAGCTGAAATCCCACATGAGTTAAACAAAAAATCGGATACTTCCTTTTGTTATACCAATTTATGGTATATTAGATTCCAATAGATGATTATTCTCTTATTACAAACAATTTGTATGTTACTCATTAAGCCCTATTCACACTTGTGCTTTGTTTTAATGCAAATTTGTAGTTGCACCCATATTTGTTAATCTATATATATTAGACTGATGCAAAATTTGAAATGTTCGCTCCACAGTGCTCAAACGTTTCCAAATAGGGTCCTGATTAGCCTCCCAAAATTTAAACTTATTTGGTAAGAAACTGACTTGGCACAAACCATTTGAAGTTTATATGGAAATTACTATGGGAAACCCAAACTTTTTGTTCACTGTATTCTAGTCTTTTTCTATATTGCAGTGTTAACAAGTTCTATCGCTATTCTTATGGAAAATTTTTTCAGCACAAGATAGTTTTTCAGCCAAGCGTCAAACTAAATATTTATTAATTGATTAAGAGATTGATAAACTTATGGCATGATTAAACAGCTGTATTATGGGCAACACTGTATTCTGCAGTGAGACATAGTAGCCATGATTGGTGTGACCTATTCTACGCCCTAGAAACACCAATGTTGTCTGCTGAACAGTTGATTGAGCATAATCATAAGACATCAGTGACTGAAATCATTAATAACTTATGTTCCTTACATTTAATCGAAAAGTGGTCTTGGACAAAGTTGTAGCTAAGAGAATTCTCATCAAGCGCAGCTATCATTTTCTTAAGCAGATTGAACTGGTGAAATTTGAGATAGATATGAACCAACATTTTGGTTTTCCCATAGTAATTTCTATATAAACTTCACATGGTTTGTGCCAAGTTAGTTTCTTACTAATTAAGTTTAAATTTTGGGAGGCTAATCAATCAGGATACAATTTGGAACCGTTTGAGCACTGTGGAGCGGAAGCTGCAAAATTTGCATCAGTCTAATATATGTATATATATGTAAATGAATTTGTGTATGTCTGTCTGACCCTTTTAGACTCAGAAACTACTGAACCGATCGGCGTGAAAATTTGTACGCCGGGGGTTTTGGAGCCGGAAAAGGTTCTTATGATGGTTCGAGACCCCTCCCCCATCTGTAAGGATGGAGCTCCCATTCAAATAAAAAAGAAAAATACAGCATGCTTTTTTCAATCGGCGCATAAAATTAAGCTAATATTGAATCCCGAGCAAGGCCAGGCACAAGAGATCTATTGATTTTTTATAAAAAATGATACAGCTACAAATTGCTACTGAAATAAGTAGCACGTCTGAATAGACCTGATAATTATAAAATAGTTCCTCCTCCATCGTCTACATATAACGACGTCATATATCAAACACAGTGCAATGGAAACGACCCAAAGCAAAATGTGAGATCGATCTAATAAACTCCTGTATCGTTGTCAGTAAATTAACTTTTGCTCTTTTCAATCAGAGCGACCCATAATTGAGTTATTGTAGCTATAACGAAATGTGTCTCCTTTGTACGGTACTTGCTTTGGTTGGAAGTTATCATCACACCTATTTCGGCTACAGCATTTGATGATTGCATGGATTTTCTGCACAAATACGTGGAATCACCTTTCAGCTACTATCCTGTTTCAAAGTTTTCAATTTGAGCTGAACATTTTGCATTATCGTTACAGATAAATTTTACCAATCACCACACCTCTTTAACCCTTCGAGCATCAAATCACAATCACATTTTTAACTAATTTTAATATCTTTGGTAATTTTAAACTGATTATTCAGTTTTGGGTTTTTCAATTTTTGTCGAACAAGTTAAAAATAATCGATTTATCCGTTCATATTTTCCCTGAAACCTTAAACAAATATCTAATAGAATGGCTGTTTGCTTCTGGGAAATTTGGTTCAAAATCAAAATGTGAATTTTAAGGTGTGAGAATAATTAAAAGTGGAACAAATAACTTCTCAACTGTATATAAAAAAATATGAATGGACTCCGAGAAACATGATTTCTAAAAATGTGGCGATTTTATTTTCAGTATGGTGCTTGAAGAGTTGTCAAATGTAGAAACATTTAATTATTTGTAGGACAACAATAGTTCATTGTTTAGAACAATTTCCCCCATTATTTGATAATTCGGGTACGCAAATTTACGATATTTTTATAGTTCAAATATATCGATCGGCGATATTGACAAAACAGCTTTGGTCGCTCATTCGAGCTACAAGTTATCTTCAAGGAAAACCATGTCAATTGTCGGTGATAATCCTGTCAGTGACGAACACGTGCAGTTTTTGTTATTAGCTAAAATTTGTGAACAAATTAAAAGAATCAAGCAAAACAATTCCTTGAAGCCGTTAAAGCGAACAAGCATCTACGTCCTTAACTGCCTGTGAACCAGAATGCACGAAATTATATGTTTTTGGTTATAGTCAATCTTTGTCATTGAAGAAAAAATAATGAGATTTTGTCAAAAATAATTTTGTCAATATCACGTGAAGTCTTTCAATGACAATGACAAATCTCAGCATTGCTTTCGATTTCCATTAATCGGGGAAACGTTCCGTTGGTTTCTTTAACTGTAAATTCAATAAGTTTTTTTTTTAATTTTATTCAATTGAAGGTTTCATGTTTTTTTTTCACTTACGCGTGGTTCATGCATGAAATCACCACACAAACTGGTGAATTATTGCCAGGAAATTAACTTTATGTAGAAATATACATGAATTTAGAAAATCTTTCAAAGCTTATGGAAACTTCCAAAAGAAGTTAACTTCCAGAGACGTCAAATGTATCTGCAAGGTGAAGCCGGATAAAACAACCAGTAAAATTTGAAGAAACTTCCAGGGGTAGCTGGAAAAAGAACTTCTAAGAGCAAAACGGAAGAAAATTTCTGGTAGAAATCTAAAGGATTTCTACACGGAATCTGGAAGAACTATCAGCAGAAGTTGGAAACATATTTCGTTAGAAGTTAGAAGATACTTCCAGGAGATGTCAGAAAAAACTTCTAGGAGAATCCTAGAGAATCTTTCAAAGGAAGTCTAAAGAATCTTCTGGGGAAAGTCACAAACTTTATAATATTTTCTTGTTACTTACCCATACAACATATCATCATAATATCTTATTATTCCATAATTTAATAAAACATTTTTTTATCCAAAATGAATGGAAGGCACCCTTGGATGCAATTTACCAGATTACGGAGGAAAAAGCACTTTTAGTAAAGTTCAAGTAAAAAAATAATACTTCACTGGGAAGATTTATTTTCCATTATGTGCAGTGGAGGTGCTGGGAAAGCATGTTATCTGGAAGAAATTCCCTATGGTGATGTACTTCGACGTGTACACAGGTGTATGAGATGTTTATATGGATGTGAAAAGGGAAGTCCCACCTTGCTTTATTTCTTCAATCGGATGAGGAATATATTCTATTATGTGTGCTTTTTTGAATGATGGAGGGACACCGGATGAATTTCTGCCTCAAGCATCCAGAATAGTGACAACAAGAAAAAGAAAAACAACAACGGAGCAAAGAACAGAGCTGTATCAGTGCGCGCTGTGTAGGTAACAGGAGGTGCATCTTTGGACAACAATGATACGGAAATAGGCGACGCGGATGAGTTGCTTGATTTCAAGCATCGTAATTATGCGTACACTGGAGTCGCTTTTTACGCGGTTTTTTTTTACACGGTTTTTTTTTTACGCGGTTTTTTTTTACGCGGATTTCGGAATTTACGCGGTTTTTTTTTACGCGGATTCCGGAATTTACGCGGTTTTTTTTTACGCGGATTTTGGTTTTTTTTACGTGGATTTCAGAATTTACGCGGTATATCGCTTTTTACGCGGTTTTTTCTTACACGGTCTTTTTTTACTTGGTTTTTTTTTACGCGGATTTCGGAATTTACGCGGTTTTTTTTTACGCGGATTCCGGAATTTACGCGGTTTTTTTTTACGCGGTTTTTTTTACGCGGGACGTATCACCCGCGTAAAAAGCGACTCCAGTGTACAGTACCCGTTCTATTTTGGCAACACGACTAAATTGCCTTTAATTTGCTCGAGGTCTACAGTTTAAAATCATTAACTCTGTTTAATATATTTCCTACACTGTGTGTGTGACATGTGTGAAGCTTTGAGTGTGACCGGATAATCAGGTTTGTAATTATAAAAAACTGTGGAAAGTTAAGAAGTCAAAATCGTGTGTTGGCAAAATCGAACGGGTACTGTATTGTAGACTACGAAAGTATACACGGCGAATGAGAACGCCCCAAATTTGAGTTTAGTTCTCTCATAATGGCCAAAAGTGCAGAAACGCAGCGATGAGTAAATTTTCCTCATGGTTTCTCCTATGGAAAACCTAAGAAATCTGCCGAAAAATGGGAAGTCCTGGTAAAAAATGGTAAAACCTGGAAAAACCAAATTTACTCATCTAATTCTCCAGGGTAGTTGGACGTTCCGGTCATCTCGGTAAATCTCAATTCTAGATGCTCGGAAAATCTTAAGTTAGCAAAGCATTCCTCGAAAAATCTACTTTCTTTTTTCGCAACTATTATAGAAGTTGATATTTGAATAATCTTTTTGATGAATAACTGTCAAAAATTGATCTTATATCTTATCTGATCACAGGATAATCATATTTTTCGATTCCCGTGAA